GTTCAGATTATGTCAAAAGTTTTGATTATTATTTTTTTATGCTTCCATGATATGCATAATCAGTTCTCAGAAACTTCCACTGCAATTTGACAACCATCCCACTAACTTGACCATTATTTTCCCTTTTAAATGCAAACGCAATACATTAACATTTCTGTATTGCAGAGTTCCCAATTCTTCTATTTTCTACTTGTGTATTCTGATGGCTTTTTTCCTTTTTTTTTTTATCAACCTTGGCGTTTTTCTCTCTGTCCAGCCTGCATCCGGCTCCTTGCCTCAAAGCAGAGTGACCGCCTCAGTGCCTGAAAACCTCAGCTTGTTCATGGATCCAAAACCCAAAGCCGAGGAAGGCGCCGTCAAGAAGCTGTCCAAGGATTCCATCCTGTCGCTGTACGCCTCCACGCCCTCGCTGCACGCCAGCGGTATGGCCACACACGGTGAGCTCTGCACAGATTTCCCTCAGGTCTTATGATACCTTCATGGTTAGCTTATTTTACTGAGTATTGTTTGTCCTTACGGCGTTTCTGTTTGTTTTCACCAGGCTTATATATGAACAGGATGGGATTCCCGACACATCCTTACGGCCCATACCATTCGTTAGCCCAGGTTGGGGGGATGGGAGGCGCCATGATGACGTCACAAATGGCCATGATGGGTCAGCAGCAGAGCGGCTTAATGGGGGTTCACCAGAACAGCATGATCGGAGCCCAGCAGAACTGCATGATGGGACAGCAGAACGGATTAATGGGCGCTCAGGGTGTCATGGCTCAGCCAAGTGGGGTTGTGGCAACACCTTACATGACAGGGATGGGCCAGGGAATGATGGGACAGCAGCAAAGTGGGATGGTCTTGCAGCAGCAGAATGGAGCGTTGGCTGCACAACAGAGTGGGATGATGGGACAACAGCAAGTCGGAGGCATGGCCCCACTACCTCACCAGCAAATGTATGGAGTGCAACAAGGCCAGCAGCTTCAGTGGAACATGGCTCAGGTGTGTGTAATCGTTTTGGAGCATTTTCAGTAGAAAAAAAAAAAGAAAAGAAAAAAAATGCAATCCTTGTTGATTCTAAAGAGTGCTTTGCTTTCTTTTAGATGACTCAGCAAGTAGCTGGCATGAATCTGTACAGCACCAATGGCATGGCAGGAAACGGGAGCCAGCACCCAGGAAGCTCAACAGCTCCGAGTTCGACGCACATGGCGGCACACGTCTGGAAGTGATTTTATACACCTGAAAGCTGCAGGAACATCTTCAAGATGGGAGGCAACGGACGGATTGGGAACAACGTGAAACATTTTTGAAACGTAAGGCAACAGGAGGAGGAGAAGACGGGCGTGAAGAAGATTTGGGAAATGATTACTACCTCTGTCTCTATCTCTCCTCTCTCTCCTCTCTACCTAAGCCTCCTCTCGCTGTCCCATTCATAGCCATGTTCTGCAATTTTCCATGTTTGCCTTCAGGACATTTTGGTACCAAGACAACAGGGTTCAGAGACCATTTGCTTCGGCGTTCACACCTTTATTTGTATCTAACCGTTATATGAGAGTATCTCCATATCCCCCACGTGTGTATTCAGTAGGTGTGAAGAAGTTGCTTTTGCTTTTGGAAAATATCTTTTTATTTATTTATTTATTTTTTTTTACCCTGAGGTTGAGCACAGAAATTCGCCTATCCTGAAAGTCGAATTTATTGAGACAAGACAAAGAAAATATTAGGCACCTTGTGGGATTTGTTTGTAATCTATGCACCATCAGGGTTTCCTGATCCAAGCTCATTCAAAAGGACAATTGAACCATGTGTAAAGCAGCGGCTGCAATAACAAATGGTTTGTTATCAACACGAAAACTGAGTGCAGAATCCAGCTTAAAGTACTTTTTTTTTTTTTTACAGATGTTAGTAAACAGTTAATTATAAACGCATAAAATAACAAAAATTGACTAGCCTAATTTCCCTTTTCCAGTGGCATTTAAGGAAACAAATAAACAGCGATGTAACATCCACCGTATTGTGAATGGTTAAACAGGCTAATACAAGCTATGCTAATTTTCCCTATTCTTGTAGTTAGCAAAAATATTCTTAGTCAGGATTTTTAAACTATCACAAATTACTCTGATGGAAATCCATTTCCATTTAGTATATATACTTTCTTGCAAGTAGAAGAAACTGCTGCTAATTACCCCACCTGAGAATCAATATAAAATAATGAGGCTGATTGCCCATTTTTAGTGGTACGCTAAGGTTTGCTCAAAATGTGTTTTTAGGTGCATAAGGCCACACAATATATTCACATAACTTCCAGAATAACACAGATAATTGAAAAGTTAATTTCCTACTTATAGGATATTACCTTACAAGAGAAATGAAATATATTTTATAAGAACAGACAGAAATCAAGCTAAAATAAGCTAGGCTAATCTTCCCTTTCCATTAGGATGCTAAAATTTGCTCATTATTTCTTTTTTAGTCTGCAGGGTAGCAAATAAATAAGAATAACATTTCCAAATGGTCAAAAATTACTTTTTTCTCAATAGTGAAAGAAACTGCTGCTAACTGTTGATATGATCAACTAAAAGTAACATTAAAACAAACTATGCTAATCTTTTTTTAGGATTAGGGTACTAAAATTTGCTTAGAATTTCTCTTTTTATGGGCATAGGATCGAAAAAAACCCCAGAAGAAACAGATTTTCCAAATGTTTGACAAATGTCCTCTTTAAAAAAATAGCAAATAAAGAATATAATGATGTCCAATTTACCACAAATTGCCAAATATTTTGAGCAAAGAGTCGCATATGAAGCACTTTCCTAAAACTGAGCTGAAACACACTTTGTTCCAGAGGGATGCTAAAATTAGCTCAATATATCTGTTGAAATGTACAATGTAGTGAAATAAACAACTAGAATGTGGTGACTTATGGCTGCTCATTTTGAGGAGAGAGTCCTATTTAAAGTGTATTTTCTAATCTCATTTCCAATGAGCAGCCATGACTTAAATTAAAGCAAGCTAGGCTAATTTTTCCTTTTCCAGTAGTATACTAAAATGAGCTATATATACTAGCAATTACACGATTTCCCAAAGGTTTAAAATCACTTGAATGGCTTGAATGTTCTTTATTTCTTTTGTTTCTGTAAAAGGAATAAAAGAAAATGGGTCCCGAGTGAATCTCTATATATTTTTTAAAAATCCCTTTAAGTTTTTGAGTTCCTAGAGCAACTTTGTTTTGAAACCTAGAACAGCAACAAAGCCTACCTAAACAGCATTTCTATATGATGTCTGCTTTTGAAAATACTGAGGGCTTCATTTAAATTATTAATAAAGTGTCAAAAGAAAAAGTCCTATACCGGATTTTTGCAGACCAAAGATTAGCACTAGCTTTATTAAGACTGTACAGTATTTTTTATTTTTTTTCTTTTCTCAAATTGCCACCTAGCTAGTGACTAGTATAAAAATGACCACGGCATTTGAGCTGTGTCTTTGGGAATCCCTGCTGTTACACTTCACTGTGCTATTGCCTCAGAAAGGGTAGGACACTCGAAAGATCGCACGCTTTTGTCGTCCTGTAACTGCTCAAACACCTTAAGCCGACTATCCACCTTGTACAATTGTGGCCTCAAACAACGTTGAATGTCCCAAATCGAGAGTGAAACCAAGGAGGGTGATTATCTCAGTCATGTTTCAGATACTTCCACAGAACTGCATGAAGAGAATGTCTATCCACCGTCGACTGTGCGTACTGTACGTTTTCAGATTACCAGATGTTTCTATCTACTGTATATTCTAATCAGTCTGTGACCAAGACTAACAAAACTATCAATGAATGTGTGTCATGAATGTTCTCCTGATTGTAATGGGTACACAGACTTGACTATTGCTGCCATTGTTGTTGTTTTTTTATTTTAATATTATTTGAATGCGTCCAATAGTGTGGACTTGTCTGTCGGATGTCCTGTGGTGGAATGCCTTTTTCGTCAGGTTCTGTTCCATCATCATTTTGCCTCTGTGTTGGGAGCAAACTGTGATCAGACTGATTTGGTAAATTTTTTTCAGGTGATTCAGGAACACTTACAGTCTGGCCAACGTACAATATGAAGTGGAAATGAGAATGTGCATACACAAATCTACCACCTCGCAAACCTTCAGAGAACCTCGTCTTTATCTTCGCCGTTTACAGTTGCTCTTCCTTTGAAATGCATGAAACCGTTGCTGAAAACTCTTAGTTTTTCCACACTTTGTTATCTTCTGTTTTAATCGGTTTTGGTTCTTTGACACTGTTTTTTATGCTTAATGTGAGAGACTCACATTAATATCTGCACACACTGCAACTTTCACAGCTCTGTTCTTTAAAGCTATATTCTTTTTTTTTTTTCCAGTTGGGCTAAATTTGGGGGGCCACGTGACTAAAATCGCTGGCTCGGCAGAAACCGATATTGATCTGCTAAGATCGTACACTGTAATAGGAGATTTTGTTGGAGAACACTGAGGACTTCATGGAAAAAGTTCCCTTGCGTCCAGTCCTTTTTTTTTTTTGTCTCTGTTACATTTCCTGGGAAATGAAAGAAAATGAAGGAATGTACCTTTTTGTCATGTCAATATGTAGTGAGGTTTTATTCTTTAATAGGATACCTGTACATTACATTCATTAACGAGATTGATGGATACGTTCTGTATATTAGCTCTGCATTTTTTTCACATGCTTTGCCTCTTTTAGTTTTACGCCTTCATGAAATCAATAAATAAAAGTTTGATTAAAAATATATTGTCCCTGTTATATGAGAAAAATATTGCCTAAATAAATTCTCTTTTTAAAAAAGTTTCTTAGCCTTTTGCATAAAGAAAACATACATAAAATTAAAACTGTTTTATTGTAAAAGAAACATGACTATAAACAATTTATGTGAACCTTGTTTTTGCTGCCCTCTAGTGACCAGAAACACCGACAAAAATCTTCGCAGCATTGAGGCCTCAAAAAAAAAAAAAAAAAAACATTTATACAGAAATAGTGATTCAAATGAACTTTATTTATTTCAGCGTCCAGATGTCAAAGGGCATGCAAATACAGGCTTCAGAATTCCAAATTGTTTTCCATTTAACCCCCCACTCCCGGTTTGGCTCTATTGTTTTTTTCTTTTTTTATTACAAAACTACGTGCACCTTAAGTAATCAATTTTGCAGCGTACAAACCACAAAAATACCAGTTTTACATTATCAAATACTGCACATAGAAAACATTTACAAAGCACAGGTATAAAATTACAGCTCCCTTTTTGTTCCTCTCAACCGCAAACTCTCATACACGTCATCACGGCCCGGTACGTTTTTTTTCCTCCGACCCTGTTGCGCTGCCAACACTCCTCGGATGGGAACGCTGAAGACAACCACGAAAGAGTTGTTCAATCTTTATATGTTTTACATCTAGATCTGCCAGGAATATTATAGATTCCAACAAAAATAAATCTGAATACTGATGTAATTTTGACTCTTGGAGCTGTAAGTTCGGGTTGTGTTCTGTGCTTTTAGGGCCTTGGCGAGATGAAGGGTTGAGAGACACCTGGGCCTTGTAATACCCTGACAGACAAAAAAGAAGAAAAAAAAGAAAATGTGGATAGTAAAGCTTGTGCTGTGGTAGCTGATGGTTATAGACAACAGATGAAAAGGATCCAGCAGCACAAACTCTTAAACTTGCCAAAAGAAAAGAAAAGAAAAGGAAAAAAAAAAAAAGTAAAGCTCAGTGATGATGCCTGTCCTGTTCATGTTGATAGTTGCTACTCAGGCACCTTCCACACATAATGGCACTCCTGCTGCAGATGTGTGAAATCATCTTCAGTTGACAGAGCTCCGTCTCAAAATGAAATAATTACAAACTCAAAATAGTATTTTAGAAAATATCGTACTTTTAAAAACACTTGTCCTTGCTCACAGCAATTTAGTTATTCATTAGTATTTGAGTTGCTGTGAAAAAAATACGAGCGTGAACACACAAACTACATAAGTTTATGATTGTGATGGAAAGACAAGACATTGTAGCTAATATGGAGGCTTTATGGCCCCAAAGTGCAATAGTTTTACCTTCATTACAGTCCTCCAGCCGTCCTTATCAAACCTATTGGCCAATGGCTACGAAATGGCCTCAGTGTCCTGGGATATTTGAACCCCATGACAACAGAGACTACTAACTGAAGGTTCCTAGAGGCTCTGACCAGCTTAACAAGGTCTATTGTGACATTTTGGGTCTGCCATAAAACAGGATTTCAATTAATTAATTTAAATATTTTTCCACGTCTTCATCAGTGGTGCCATTAGGTGTCAGCAGCGGCATACGGAATGCGTACTTGCTCAAAGACAAAACGAACCTCGTTTTTCATGAAAACCATCCTAACGTGTATTCACAATGCAGAGCATGCTAGGTTGAGTATACTTACTTTTAGTGCTCGAAATGTATTTTATTTGTCGTGGCACAGTAACCACAGGCCCAGCTCTGATAACTGAGAAACGGGCTACAGCTGAATGGTTATTGCCTGAAGACGTATCGAGGAAAACATAAGGCCGAAGCCATGCTACGTAAAGGTACAGCATCTAGAGAACTCTCTTGCATATGTGTGAGTTGTCTAATGGAAACCCCTTCACTGTGCCTTGCAGAATTAGACAAAAAAAAAAAACTGTCATAAACACCGTGCAGCAAACATTACCTTATTCAAAAGTATGAGTTTGATAAAGTGGGGAGATTGCAGAGACAGGATGCAGAGGGAAGCAATCATTTCAGCTCAACAGTCATCGTGGCGACATATGAATCAGAATGCCTTTTGCCAGACAGAATTCATGCTCCTTTCTCGTGATACAAATAATAAGACGTAGATAATACAGTACAGTAGAAGAGAGGGGGTTGTAAAGTTCTTCAGATAGACAATATAGCAAACAGGATGACAAAAAAAGTGCACAAATTAGAAATACATTCATAAAACTATACACATATAGAACTTCGGTACATTATTTCAAGCAAAATACATTTTTTAATTTTTTTAATTTTTTTTTTACAAAAATCTTTCAGTTGTGTGTGCTACAATAGCGAAGCAACGTCTCCCACACAAAATAAGGCCATTGTAAACTGATCAAGCCCTCGTTTTGCTGTTTTTTTTTTTCTTTTTTGCAAAAACCTAAAGGCAGGTTTTGCCCAACCTCGCCTTTCCGACTCCTGCTCTCAATAAAATCTCTGTCCTTACAAAAATAAAATACGTTTTAAACGCAGTACTCAACACGGGCGAAGATGAACATAACACAATTATGCACGTGAAGCAAGTGGATTTGACATCCTGAACATCCACGGATTTACAATCAATGTGAGATTTAAGCTAGAGGACCAAGACGGACCAAGAGCGACACGTTTCCCACTCAGTCCTGATCTATGACTCTACCTTGACAACAAACAGAAAGTCCTTCTAGATTTTAGCTCCACAAAACTCCTCCAGGCTTCGGCTTTCTGACACTTTTTAAAGACAGCACAGTGCTGTAAAAAGAAGTAATTGCCCCCAATTTAGCTTTTTTTGTCACATAAAGAAAAACTGAAATAAAAATGTGTTTTTTCCAGTAGATTTAGACTCACTTCTGTGCACAAAAGGGTCAAATTACTTTGAATAGCTTTTTTCCAATGAATTCAACGCTTGGAACCTGCATTTTATATTTACTCGCGTCATCTTTTCTCATTTAAATTAGAAATCAGTTTTAAATCCTTTGTAAATGGATCATGAAAGCTGTGAAAAGTTTGGAGAACCTTCCTCCTCAGATTTCTAACAATTCAACGGTCATCATCTAAATAACATCACTCACTGGCCTGCCACACATGATGCAACCCGCAGTACATCGAAAGCACTTGTTCAATGAAGCTTACACAAAGATGCTGCACTTTAAAGAAAGGACACATTCTAACCATTTCTTTTGGCCGCAGAAATCCATTGTTTTCTGTTTTGACAGACATTTACAAAACCCATAGTTACTTTCACTCAGTTGGCATGGCAGAGCAAAAGTAGCACAATTCGATCATGGAGTTACTGCAAAAATGTGACCTTCGTAAGTATAAATAAGAGAGAGAGAGATCAATTTTAGGTGTGGTTTTCTTTTACACACTCAAAGCATGTGTGGAGATCGAAAGCACTCATATCTTTTTCATAGATCATGGCAGCTATCCAGGAAAATCATACAAAGAACATAAGATCCAGAAGATTACCTTAGAAACGGTACCATAACCAGTTACAAGAAATAGCTTGAAAATAGAGCCCTGATTTGAAGCTACTTCTAAAATAGGGGTGTAAGTACATTACAAGCAGGTTTTAAACATCCATATGATCTGAAAATATCAGAGATAAATGTATCTGAAGTTCAAAAGAGGCTAAAATAGGTACTGAGGAGACTCAGCTCATCAGATTTTCCCCTTTTAAGATGAAAGATGACGAGAAAAAGAAGAAGAAGAAGCTCTTTGATGACAGACAACAACGAAACCAAAATGAAATTTATCAACATACAAGCCTTAGAGGTCAACAGTGTTAACGCTCAGGGAAAATCCATCTATATACAAGGTTGACTCTTAATTATAACAAGCCAATAAAGTGACTCTTTAAAAAGTTTGTCATCCTGAAGGAACCTCAGAAGCCCCGGCGGTTTGCTTCGGCCCTCAGCTCCACTAATATCTTGTTTTTGTCTATAAAGAGTAGAGAGAGAAAGAACTAAACTTATGGGGTGTTTAATCAAAGTTTTTTGGTGTTAATCTATTCACTAGAATCTAAATAACATGAAGTAAATGTTGCTGATAACACTATTATAGATGTACTAACAGTAACTGTAGTCAATGTAATATTATGGCACCAGTAAAAATAACTTTTATTTGTTGTGTTACGTCCAAAAATTCAAGATCACGTCTACTTTTTTGTGATCAATATTTTGATTATGCAGTGAGAAAATCTGAAACATTTAATGATGTGATTTTCCTTTATGTTTTTACATCGGCCAATGCCTAGTATGGTATGGTATAAACTGTGAAAAGTAATATCTTTTTGCAAAAAAAAATAAAATAAAATTTAAGTAATTTCAGGGTTTATGCCTTTTGTGACAAATCTTCAAACTTTTTTTTATGTAATGTATTTTTTTTTAATTGAGTCCAAGGTGAACAACAACAAAAAAAAGATTTTGGACTTAAATATTATAGATAAGTGCTTAGATGCAAGTCTAAAACCAGAACCAGTCTCAGCCGCTCCAGTGCGTCTCCATAATTTCAATAAAAAAAATACACTCTGGTTTCACATCTCTGCTGAAATTCAAAGATTTGGAAATGTGCAATGAACTTCAGAGTATTTAAACGCCAGTACTTATGTGACAACATTGATTACCGATAATAATCGTCATCATATAATACAGAAAAATAGAGGCGGTTCACCACCGCCTGGACTTAAAATTGAAAAATAATACAAAAAAATTGACAATAAAGTGCTATCCAAAAAACATAAACATACTGCCAAACAGAAAATATAAAAACAGGAATGCTGAAGGTTGTGTTAGTAACATATTGCACCTGAAACAAGTTCAACTACCAGAACGTGGCTGGTTACTGTAAGTACTAGGAAAGTAAATGTTTGTGCCAGTAAATTAGAATATCATCAAAAAGTTTATTATTTTCATTAATTCACTTCAAAAGTGAAAATCATATATTGGATACTTTCGATTCATTACATCACGTAATACTTTACAACTAATGCAAATCCTAAATTTGAACGTGAGAATATTGTAACTCATTTATTTTACTTAAAAATGGATAACAAGAGATGTTTAGTCTTATTAATGTCCCTAATTTAATATCTGAGATATAATGTTACAGACTAATCTTTCTTGGTTAACACTGCTGACTTGACAGTTGTTCACCAGACACTCGCTGCATAATTTAGTGGAAGGAAAAAGTGTGATAAAAAAAATGTTTACACAATATATGACTTTCACTTTTTAAACTGAACTGAAGAAATACATTTACTTATCAATGTTATTTTAATATTTGTGGCTGCACCTATAATGCTATTGTAATGTCCAAAAACAGAAAAAAAGAAAAAAAAAAAGTCCTCTCAAATTATATACAGGTTTACATATTTACAGCAGGTTCAGAGGGACAAACGAGTGGCCATGGCAAGAAAAGGGCTGCTGCTGATGCTTCCCATCTCATTGAGCAGGAAGAAGAATTCAGGACATCAAAACAAAGGAAATGAAATGGCAGTCCAAACACGTGAGAACACCCCCCTCCACCCCCGCCTCATCCCCAACCCCGATGCAGAAGTGGTTCAAGCACACCAAAGGTGAAGGAAGGAACTGTGAAGTCAGCAGCGAGTGCGTGGCTAACTCATTTTCTTCTTCTGCAGACAGCGATGACAGTCACGTCCTTTGCTCTAACTCGGTGCTCCTTTTTCGTCGGGACATATCGGCAAAATAAAGTCAGCGGCACTGTTTACGTTGATCAAGGCAAGCTAAATAAAAAGACTTTGAAGCGCTCTAAAATGTCTCGCAAGCAAACATGCAGAATGCAGCCGATACATATAGAAAGACAAATAAGTATTTAGCTATCTATTTCGTATATATTTAGATACTCATGTATAAACTCTGCCCTGTGAAAATCATAGAATATAGCAGTGTTGCTACCTCACATAACAGCCATTATGTGAACGTCCGAGCCAGGTTTGTGTTCGATATCCCGCTCTTAGCTTCTCTGTGTGTGTATGTAGAATATATCTTCTTTTTTTTTTCTTTTTTACTTTTTTTTTTTTGCATTACATCTAAGTCATTGACTCTGCTACATATCCATACTTTTATATTGTATACTAGTTTCACCTACTACTTATAGGAATAATAAGAACAACAATAACAATTGCTTTGGTTTTAAAAAATAAAGTTTTTTTTTCTTAGTTTGGCATAGAGAGATTAGAAACTGGCATCGATCGGGATGGCCCCGGGATGAGACGCGCCGCGGAGGTTTGACGACTTCGGAATGCAGGGGCGTGGCGCCTGGCGTGAAATGAGGATCGCTACATGTTCACGTCGCTCGTGTCTACGTTGGGTTCAGGTTTGGCGGGTGAATCGTGATGAACGATGGAGGAATGTGTGGCCGTCGATGCGTGTGGAACCTGGGATGTGCCGCTGAATGGTGTATGCCTAACTGCGTCGCGCTTCGGATACAGTCGTCGTTGTATGTACAGTACGCGTGCCGGTGTCTGCGTTCTGCGGGACGTCTGCTGGGTGTCTAGGTGCACGTGGGGCTGGTGGCGCTCTCCAGGGAAGACTGGGAGAGGCGTCTGGTGAGGGGTCCGATGCTGGGGTCTGCCAGAGAGGAGGTAGGGAACAGCTTGTACCAGCCGCCGACGGTGGCAGACAGGTCCAGGTCCTCCAGGAGGATTTGAGCCATTCCCATGAAGCACTTGTGGTCCATACGTCCGTAATCCCCCCACACTATTACCTGGAGGAGAAATAACAGTAAAACAAAGCGCTGTCAGTGGCATCATCATGCGCACGAGAGCTATGGGAAATAGATGTAAGTAAACTTCATGTCTGCATATCTTTCATTAAAATAAATCAGAAACCCAGAGTCCAGTTACCTGTAGGACTTTGCCCTGAGGACTTTCATCAAACAACAAAGCCTGTTGGTAGGTGGGATCCAGAGTCTTCTTTACTACTTTGGTTTTCTTCTTGGCCAAGCACATGCCGTTCTCCAGGAGATACACCTTCACGTAGGTTGCTAAGCGAGATGATTTGTAGTGAGCCTTCTGCATGGACAGCTGTTGCACATTTAGCCGGTGGCGTCAGTACCTGGTATGTTCTTGGAGCCTTGTTTTGGGGTCAACCCTCTGGCCTGGTTCACTTCCACCTCCAGCTGCCCTCCTCTGTCTACCATGCCTACATGGACATCCCCTAGAGAGAGGGAACGAATCAGCAGCAAATAAATGGATGCACTTTAGACTTGGAATTCAAAATTCATCTTAAATCTGCAGAAGACAGGGAGTAACAGTAGAGGGCGACAAAGACCTGGAGGATTGTGTTAACCAGCAAGTCAGAGGGGGCAGCCTGTTGTGTGTCTGTGTTTTTTTTTTTTTTTTGTTTACATCAAAAGCATTTGTGAGTATAAAGAAGCACATACATATTTGCAAACGGAAAACTGACAAAAATTAACATGCATTTGTTTACATGTAATCTATTGCGTCTTATAAAAAAACAAGAACAGAAAAAATGCATGTTTTAAAAGTCATATTTCACATTTTATTCAATATTTGACTTGCAGATTTAACTAAGACCTATTTCTTCCAGAGAACTGTAACATAAGAAAGTATCTTTTTTAACTGAGTTTAAAGTCAACTTTGTTCATAATAAAACATTTATCTAACTAAAATGTACCCAAAACAGAACCAGGTTACTCTGCCTCTTCCTTCCACCATCTAAAAATTCTAAAAAAATAAAATAAAAATAAAAAAATAAAAAGAGAAGAGAGAGAGATCTGGACCATTTAAGTCCAATAACAAAGTCAAATGAAACAGCTCCATCACATCGTTCATAAACAAGACTACGCCTCCATTTCTATATTTAATAATAATTTAATAATTTATAATCTTATCTAATCCCATGCTCTCTCTTTGCAAGTATTTTAAAGATACTGCATGCAAATTATTTGTGCAACCCACCACAGTGGACATCTCCTGCAAAATATGGGTTTCACTAGAGCCTTACCCATGGGGGGTGTGGCTAGTGTTTGCCGGCCTACGATCTGGGCGGGGCCAAGACCATCCAGAAAGTCGCTGAACTGACTCTCAGGCCCCAGGCGAGTGGTAGGGAAGACAAACCTAAAAAAGAAGAACAACAGAGATTACGACAGACTGTCAGACAATCACGGGTGGACGGACGTTGAGATCGCCGCTCGGACACGTACGTTCCTTCGGAGCTGTTGGAGTTGGTGCTGCCGTCGGTGGAGTCTTTGCTCCCCTGCCGTGTCACCCGGTTCCTCATCTCCACGGCGATGCCAGTCTCTGTGCTCCTTCGGATTGTACTGCGGAGCTTCTTCATTCCGCCATCTAAAGAAAACAAAAATAAAACCCTTACACACACGTATCCCAAACCAACTGAGAATACGTGATCATAGAACGCCATTTTCTCCCTTTTCAAAACCAATTCCTTTCCACTGAGGAGGAATTTAAATTCACCTTGAGATTGGCCGTTTCTGCGCTATTTATTTTGAAGCAAGCTCACTCAGGCGAGGAGCCAATCTTGCTTAATATCCTTTGGGATGCCCCTGCTCTGTTGAAAAGAGTTCTCTCCACTTTTCAGGTATTACTACACTCCATTTTTTTTAAACACACACACACAGGTCATTTGGCAGCTGCTCTGGTGACTGGAGGCAATAAGTTTTCAAGCGGTAAAGAGTTTTTCCACAGATAGTCCCACCAGCAACCAAGCACAATATGTAGTGTTTGGGGTGAGTGGCATAAACACGGCTTTCTGCCTAAACCCACAAGCTGGGCCGAGAGGCCATGAATCAGTGGAGCCACCGTAACTTTAGAGGAGCTGCAAGTATCCACAGTTTCAAGTGGAAACCTCAAGAGATAGAACAAGTCTTATTTATGCACTCAACAAGTCTGGCCCTTTTTGAATGAGTAAGGAGAAGGATGACAACAGAAATGGCACATTTGTATTTCAACTGCATCATGAAAAACTTCCAACTTCCTTTGGTTTCCTACCAACCGGCTTCTCTGTGTAATTTTTAGAGGTGTCTGCACCTCTCCCCAGCGAGAGAAGCTGTCCAAGGTGGACAGCCTCGATGTTGGTCTCTCTATCACAATCTCACTGCAGCGGTCCTGTGCATGGCGTGCTACAAACAAGATGGGAAACTCTCAAACTTCCTCGCGTGGAACGAGGAGAGCGCGACGTTCTCGACCTCTCAAAGGCCTTGCAGACACAATCCATGTTACAGCAGATTTTTAAAGCTCATGGTTATGTCTTCGTTTCATTCTATGAAAGTAAATGATCTCTAAGAGTTAATACCACGTAAATTAGTCTTCAGTTGTGAGCAGGGTTCCGGTTTAAATCTCCCCTGGACTGTTTGTGTACCTGATGATGAAAAATATGCATATTGGGTTAACTCAAGTACTATGAATTCCCTTACCCTGGTACCCATTCCACTTCGCTACACCCGTACATTTTGCACAATCATGCCAAGGAGTACTAGGCGTGAATCAGAAAACTTTTATGGAAGACTTAGTCTATGCAACAAGAAGGTGACCGCGTCATGTATACTTCAACCAACTTTTGTCCTACAAAGAACAGTACAGCTGGAGCATCGGTCCAGTACCTGGACTTCTTAAAACACCTTTACAATTCCATTTAGGGAAGGTTTAGATTAGAGAAATCCCAAGAAGGATAAGGAATCAGGCAGCAGAAATATTTGCTTTTTCCAAAAGACTGCACAGGAAGACGAAGCACACCCACACAGGAGTACGGCAATAATACCTGGTGACCTGCGCGCCAGTATACCATGCAATATTTACAGTCGGTGCTCACGTGTTGAGCGCTCTCGGCTGCAGAGCAACAAGTCAGAAACATGGTGGGATCTTCTCTCTTAGTTTACGTTTTAGCTCAAAGGTTTTCCGTCCTTTTCCAACTTGCTAATACCGCGTCAACCCACTTGTTATGACAGCACGAACAAAATGTGATCAACCGGATAAACACTGGCTCCGTGCAGCTCGTTACGACTGCAGCCGTGATACAGGCAGAACATGGAGCTCTATAGGAGCCCAGACAGCTCAGAAAACGCAGAGAAGTTACTTATAAGGAAGGACCCTTAACAAGCCGTCTGCCCGTCGTCGCAGTTGAAGAACACACCCAGCCACAGCCGTCCCACCTCATTAGCCCGAGCAACTCCAGTCTCATTAAGCACCCCTGCCATGCCCGTCTCATCGCCATGACAACCACCGACATCCTGCATCGTCACTATCGCTATGGAGATAAACAGAGGCAAACAGAGCCCCTCGACGAGACTTCGGGGATCGGGGGGGCATGACGAGGGTAGAAGGGACTTGAGTCAACGACGAGGAGTGGCACCGATGAGTAGAGGAGGGAGAACGAAGATGAGAAGGATGGAGTCCCACGGGGGGCGACTGTCTTCTGATGCTTTCTATTTATAATCCTGCAGTCAAGAATATTTCCAACAGCCACGTGTTTGTACGTGTGTGCGTGTGTGCGTGTGTGTGTCTTTATAGCATGACACCTAGACAAACTCCATGCGCACTTCTGCTGCCATGACAACCTCGCCCTCAGATCTGGACCCAGACAATGCCACCCGAGACAACCGGCTCATCTCATGTCACTTTTTTTTTTCTTTTTCTTTTTTATTATGTTATTGAGGCAACACTTATTTAGCTCACTGGCACTTTAACTAGACTCCTCACATCAACAAGGCTCACAACCAAATCACACAGGTTTAATTAAGCGCTAAGAGTTGTTATTCAAGACGTGGTTAGAAGGCAACAAGTCGTAGCATCTTATATGAGTTGATAATGAAAGCCCAGATTTAAAAGATGTTGGAGCATCATAAAATATCAATTTGTTATTCCACAACATGCAAATAGTTGTAAGTGTATTAATAGCCCTTGATCTTAATTACATTTTGATCAAGCTACGACAACAAATGTTAATACATTTTATTAGTATTTTATGCTACAGACCAACACAAAGTGGAAGGAGAGCTGTTTAGTTTACAAGCAAAACCCTGAAAAGTGTGGCATGCATTTGTACTCAGTCCCTCCCCCCATCACTTTGTTACTCCTAAATAAAAATTAAAAGAAAATTGTGCAAATCCTTTCAAAAGACACCTAAATGCTATTGTTGGTAATTCAATCTTAACATTTTTAAGCATTCTATGATCCGAAAACCGAAGAAATGTTGCACAATTGCAAACCAACCAAGAATAAAGAATCCCACCGCATGATGCTACTGCCGCCCTGTTGCACTGTGAGGATGCTTCCAACAAGAAGAACTGGGAAGACAAAGGGAAACCAGATGGAGCCAAATGATGCAACTCAAAGGGATTCTGCAGCACCTCTTTAACCTCAGTCGGACCCGGAGAAGGTTGAAGCGTCTTCAGTCTGATTTACTTAGTGAGAAACCCCAGAAGACGCAGGTGGATGTCTCTGCAATCACCTGGCTCACTGATTAGTGATCACCTGACAAACAGACCACAGTTTGTGAAACTTAAAGGTTGTATGTCAGCAGCACCGGAGCACCACAGATGATTGAGAGACCGCACTCTCCCAATCATCTTTTCATGAATGTGACCTTAAAGCAGATAGGTCAAACACTGTTTCCATCATGGGAGGTGGAAGTGGAGTATAAATATCTCGGTGATCGCCAGAACAACAGTTTAGACTAAACACGCAAGTTTGGACTTAAGTATGTTTTGAAGTATTTAAGTTTTTCAATGTTTGCAGCAAGATGATCAATATGTTCTATAAATCTTTATGCAGTGTAATTTCAGCTGTCATCATCTGTTGGGGCAGCAGCATCAAGAAGCCTAACAAGCTGATGAAGAAAGTTGGTTCTGTTCCTCTGAAGATGATTGTGCAAAGAAGGATTTTTCATAAAACGAAAAACATTATGTACAACTCTGAGCGTCCTCTTAGGACAACAGTGTCTTCCATCAGAGGCTTCTTCAGATTTGTTGTAATACTGACTGCTACATACTGCCCATAGCCATCACCATCTACAACAACCCACTGAGGAAAACTGAATTCAGCAACATTTATTTTTTCCTTAGGTTCCATAAAGTATTTTTGAATTGAATTGAACTCTGGAGGGAACCATTCTGTTGGTCTAATAACCTAAAACCTTAACCCTCCTAAACTTCACTGACATTTTGTGGTTGTGATGTGTCAAAGTGTGGAAAAATTTCAACGGGTATTAATGCTTTTCCAAGGCACTGAATCTATTAGAAACCTTTTCCAGATTTTTTTTCTCTCCAGAAAAGGAAAATAAATAAAAAAATCAACATGTTTTTGTATTCCAAAATATTTATTATGACCTCAAGCAGTGTTTTTTTTTTTTTTTTTAATTGGAATTAGAGTCTCTGAACGCTTGACTAGTAGTAAAATAAAATTTATTGGGAGAATCAACGTTACGTTTTGTTGGCAGCAGCCAGTTGCTGAGGGGAAAGCAGTTTCACTCTGAAGTGCATTCGGGGTTAACTTTGCCCAACCGCTGTACGTTGATTTGAAAATTTGCTCCTTTTTCGCTCTTTCTCTTTCGATTTTTACTCAATAACTCTAGTCGTCTTTCAGAGCATGTAATGTAAGCAGAAATGTGTCGTAAAACCTTGACTGTCATCTTGGCGAAACATTGGTTGCATCACTGACAGCAAAAAGGAAAAATTAAATTGTAAATAAACTATTTCAGTGATTGATCATTATCATCATCATCATCCTAAAAGTCTGTTTTGTGTTTGCAAAACAGATTGGACAAAGGATTGCTGAATATGAATTTATACACCACTCTGAAAGATTCTTAGTGGTAAAGTATTAAGAGGCTATTCATCTAAACTTCATATCCACTTATTTGTCTGCATGCCCCTCCCTTCTCATCAGAGCCCCCTCCCTCCCAGCTTCAACAGTGATCTCTTCCTTCCTATTTAATCCCCTCCTCCTTGCCATGCGCTTTCCCTCCATCCGTTTCCATGGCAATGCCTTCTGCAATGCACCAAGAGCCCCGGCCGGCATGTTCCCTCATAAGCCTTTCCTCTTACTCTGTCTCTTTCTCTTAGGTTGTATTGTCCTCTCCACAACTCTTTAATCTTCAGCCTGCCTTCTGCTTTTTCTCTGTCTGTTTTGGGAACAAACTCTTCCTTCTGCCTCCTTCCATTAAATGTTTCTCTTTTTTTTTGTTTTTGTACCTGCTTCTCCTTTGTTTCCTGTTTTTTTTTCTTTTAGCTTTTCCTGCTTCCGTCCGTCTTTACTACTGGGCTCCGATCTGTTTGTCATCTGCTCATCACTCGCCGTAAATAATTCAACGTATTTTCTCCTGCCCTGCATGTGAACTGACTCACTCGTAATAATATCAAACCCGCACAGACACATCCTGGAGGGACGGAGGTTCAGTGTCTTTCGAGTGTCTAAGATTATCTGGAGAAGGGACTTTCTAGGTCTCTGTGTTCAGCAGAACCCTTAACGTATCCAGTCTTCATAATAATACCGAAAGAGAAAAAAGAAAAAAACACTGCATATTTGTAACTAGTGAACAGATGTGCAGAACTTTCTTTTCAAGTGGAAAAACAGATTAAAAAAAAAAATGTTATGGTGACCATGAAAGTAACAAGATAAGGCAGACGCTGCATGAAGAAACAAATATCTAATCATAGATAAGGAATAAAGATGGGTGGGATTACATAAAAAACACCAACAGTGAGCCACACACATTGAGATAGCATGCACAGAGCTTCAGTGTGTGTGTGTGTGTGTGTGTGTGTGTGTGTGTGTGTGTGTGTGTGTGTGTGCTTTGCAGATCATTAAAGCTGCTCTGACATTTGGAGAGAACACTGATGAAGCCTCTCTCATTATATGCTGTAATATAGAATGCTGTTTTTAGACTCCCCCGGCCGCGCCGACATGCCTATTGGATGCACCGGTGACGGCAACGGGCCGCCATGCATAGCAACAGTAACCAAGGAAGGGTGTTGGACATGAAAGACCCACTGTGGTGTCTTTACCGCCGGAGTCCTGTTAAATTTGGACCACTGGGAGACTGACGGTGGAAGGCTCCGACAGACAGCAGAGTGTTCAGGGGTGTGTGTGTGGGGGACGAAGGGGTGTGTGTGTATGCGTGTGTGTGTATGCTTGTGTGTGTGTGTGCGTGTGTGTGTATGCTTGCTTGCGTGTGTGTGCGTGCGTGCGTGCGTGTGTGTGTGATGCTGTCAGAGGCAGATGCACTCACCGCACAGCCAGAGTCGAAGAGTCAGCTTTAACTTCAGATTCATTGAACTGGCTGGAAGGGAGGTGTTATTTTTATTTCACTTTATATCATGTCGGGTAAAAACAAACTTC